AGAGAGGAAGTTCCTTCTCTTCTAAATCTTCATTGTTTCTAATACAGTAGCAAACATTCTTACCAGTAACAATATCATAATCTAACTTAGTTTGCAATCTACCACATCTATTACACTTTAACAATTCATCATTTCAATAATAATAAATTTTTTCTTTAGACAATGAGTAGAGCTAACAGATTATTGGCCAAAACAATATCCAGAATCTACCACAGGAATAAAATTTTTGGTGATGTATCTAGGACGGGTTGATACTCCCGGTGTCAGCACATCAATGGAAAACTTTTACAACAATTTTAAAAATCAATTAAAATCTATTGATCAAGGAATTGATACAACTTTATGGGCAGCATTTAGTAAGGAAGTATCAGATATTTCCAGTGAATCATTCTTGTTCAATAGGCAGGTAGTTTCATCACACTTGCCATTGGCTCAAACCAAATCTATTCAACAAGAAGTTGAAGCTTTAGTAGAGCAAATTGATAATTATGTAGATGTAGCCTTAAATTTTTGAACATGAAGCATAATTTAAATATTGGATTTTTTTTCTCTTATATTTCCAATTGAAAATCACAATAAACATTTCAAAATTAATTTATTTATTTAATTAGTTTATTATCACTATTATTACTACTATATATGATTCTACTACATGCTCTTCAGAATCATACTATGATATAAAGTGTATGTAAATTGCTCAGCTATTTATATATTATATATATAGTACACTCCCTTTATAACAGCCTTTTCTATAATGGCCTACATTCTATAATAATAACGAACTGGAAATTGGATCCTGGTTTTTTACTATATAAAAACCCTACTCTATAATGGTCTTCTTAATTAAATTTCTTATAGTGTATAATGGCCTGTCCCCAAAATTCACTTATATTAATATGTTATAACTGCCTATAATCGCTGATGATTATGAATTATAATTGCAAATTAGGAAATTTTATTATTAATATTTTTTAACATTACATGTTGATTTTTTATTTTTATTTTTAAAATTTAATTGATTTGATTGATTTTATTATAGCAAGACTTAAAGAAATATTTGATTTTTCTTTTTTTTTTTTCAGATTATTTCGCAAGATTATACCCGTAAACATTAATTAATATAAATAAATATTTATCAAAACCGAGTAAGATTCTATCTGTACATATCCAATTAAGAATCCTCATCCTCACATCTGGGCTTGATAATAATTCCCCTGTAAATATAATTGTGATTGAATAATAAGCAAGACTTCATTATAAAAGTCAAAAGAAAAGATAAAAAATGTATACCTCTAATTTTGAGAAATGATGCATGCATAATACCATTAATGGAAAAGAAGATCTGTCCATGACTAATTTAGTATTTAGCCATGGCCACGCTTGATAGATTCCATCGTGATTAAGAGTCATAAAGAATGAATCAATTTTGTCACCTAGATTATCAAATGGATTTTGTAAAAATCAAAAAAATACTGCAAAAATAAAAAGCAAAAAATCACAACCAACTAAAGCTAGAAGCAAAACTATTTTGAAGAGGAGGTGAAAGTCAAAACTAGCTTCAACTTTTGCACAGTTTTGCTACTAGCTTTATGACAGACATATACCCATGTTTGAAAGGAACATTGTACAGTTTGGTCCACCTTTCTTGCTTAATAATTGGTTGATCGAATGTTTTGCTCATGTATTAATTTTAACAAAGTCTTTGTTTTTCTGGAATGGAGTATAGCCACTTGGTTTTATTTCAGAGTTTAATATGGTGATATTGTCAATTCTGCAACTAAAATCTGGTCTCTTGAGAGAGTTATCGACAGATTTGTTTAATCTTACTTCATAGTTTTTGAAGCTGCGACAGAAAAAAGGTTTTAATAGTGGATGAAGGTAAAAACAACAATGTTCATCTTCTGTCATTTTTGGCTTTGGTACCAATGGAAGCTCATCCTTTCTAATGGGTGTAAAATAATTCAAATTTAGTCTTTTTCCAATGAATTTTGTTTTCAATTTTTTTTTAATCATTCATGTAATATAAAAAAGATTCTTGATCAAGTCACTTACAATCAGAGATGGAACCGCAATTAGCCGCAATTCAACTTTCATATGCCGCAACTGCAACCACAATTCAATTTTTATATGCCGCAATTAGTTGCAACTAATTGAGGAACCATCTTTACTTACAATATGTTAAATATTCTATAGGCCTTTTTGTCAAACTCACTATCACCATTTGATTCGAGAGTATAATCTAATCCAATTGCAATTTGACTACAAGCATAGTATAACAATGTTGAAATCGGTGCCAATATTGATTCTTTCATTTTATATGGATTTGTGTCAATTATCTGCATCCATTCTGAAGAGGTAAACATATTGTACGGACAAGGCCATGTCAATACAATAATTGAGGCAAGCGCCCTAAGTAAATAAAAAAATGAGTAATACTGGTATACAATTCAACTATAAATATTTTAGAACACTTACAAAACTTCGTGTGTATCATTCCAAGTCATTTTTCTTCCTTTGGTTGTTATTTCCATGATTAACTGTGACTGAAATTTCCTGAATTTGCTTGTCACATTAACAACACCAACTATCCACTATAGATAATTTACAAAAAAGTATGTTGTATCTACGTTTTATTGTATATTACTAAGCAAATAATCAAAAATATGGTTTACCGCATACCTCGTTCAATGGAACAGACTTCAATTGACGCTTTAATTTATTGAAATTAAATAATGAGGGATCCTGATGTACAAAAGAAAGAAATGATTCCACAATGTAGGAGAAAATTCAATATACTTTATTCGCTATTTAATCTAATTAAATTAAAATAAAAGGAAAAACAACTTACATATATGTTAAATTTTCATAAACCACCACCATTCTTTGTTAATAACTAGAGTAACAACAGGTGGCGGGCGATAACCACCACCACCATCATTAAAAAACACTTACCCAGCAACATTTGGAGTGAATTCTTGTTTTCTTTTTGCTTGACGTGGCATGGTTTTTTTGGGAAAAGAAGTTTGTTATTTGATCGACATGTACACGCTAATTATTTATCCTATTGGTTTTTTTTTTTGGTAGGACAGACGTGAATTGTTTTTTTTTTTTTGATTTTTTTTTTTTTTTGGAAAAACAATTTATTTTTTGACAGAGTCCTAGGTGACAAAACGTGAGTGTTGTTGTTTGGTTTGGTTTTGGATCTCCTAAAGAAGAAGTGTAAATAACTAACCAGATATAATGTGGTGTATTTTTATTTTGGTTTATAAACAATTTAATTGGAAATCAAAACGCGGAGTAGATCATTGTTGGGTAATTACAAGATTTTCATTGATAATATTTTGTTTTTGTAATCAATATTAATAATATTATTATAAATATTATAATCACAAGATGTCAAGGCAGCACGCCATTTAAAAAGAGACATTTCAGATATGCAACGTTTGATTACCGGAAATTGGCAGATGTTAAGCACGCGTGCTACTTTGAACACTTTACAGTCATTCTCTCATCTACAACCCATCATAATACTTTTTGTTGTAGACAAGTGAGGTTTCCTGAACTAGAAATAAGCAATGAACATATGGATCGGACAAGTCAATGCAAGTGGCCTAACCATTGTTGTTGTTTTTTTATATAATTATTATTATATTTTTATTTTTTTTCATGTTTCTTTGTTCAATTATTTCTGATGATCTGCAAGTGTCCTTATATTTATGACTAGTGAGTGTATCAATTAACAAATGGGACATTATAAAACTAATTGTGATGATAATAGCTAAATTTTGATCCCTGAAATTCTTGGTAATACTAATGTTCACTTTGTCTGGTTTTGTTGCAGCATGCCCCATATATAATTTTTACTAATTTCTCTTTATTTCATTGGTCGAAAATAATTTCGCGTGATATTTTCCTAACCATTTGTATTACATTAATTTTCTTAAATTCTATTGGCTAAAACACAGTCTGCTCGTATCACAATAAATTTCTTGAAATTATTGGCTAAATTTGTGCACGTGATAAATTTAAAATTTGCCTGTTTTTACTGTCGCCCACTGTATTGACTTTGATCTTGGTAGTTATTGTTGGATTTTTTTTATTGAGATTTTTTGTAACATCAATACACAACACACACACGAACGTACGCACGCACGCACGCACACGAACGCATATGCACACTCACAGCACATACAAAAATAACAGAGGTGATTGCTGTTGTTATTTAAATCAATTTTTTAAATTGAATTAATTGTTTTTCTAAAGAGGTGACTAAAAACACTTTCCGTAAATGATTGGGCTGGTAGCTACCATCGCCATAAATAGCTGTTGGTAACTACAATTTGCCGTAAATAATTACGGCTGACGTGAATAGTTACGGCTGACGCAAATAACTACGACTGCAGGAAATAGGTTTCAATTATTGTCAATAGTATTATTAGTCATATTGGTCATGCGAAATTTTCTTGAATAATTTGTGATCTGCAGTAACTGAATTTTTTTGAATTGTGATCGATGAATTCAATTAGTCGGTCATTCGTCTACAGTGAAACTATTACTATGCGTAAAAATAAAATTTGCAGCAGCCGTATCTGTTTGCAGTAAACGTAAATATTTTATAATGGTAGTGACTAAATGCTTGCTAGTGAGAAATCCCTCTCGCCATAGTATGATTGGGTGCAGTATAGGCAGACCGTAGTAGGTTCTGCAGTAGGGCATAAATTCGCTATCAGCGGGACTGATTAAAGTGGGAATTTTTTTATTGGATTCAATACCTGAACTCAAAACATTGGATCTACTAATTATTGTTTTTTTTATAAAAAGAGAGAGAATCAACAATATTGGGCGGCGGTGGGTATGTATTCTCTCCCTTTATTTTTGCATAGTCTGAGTATTATTATTATTTGGTGAGCAATTTTTATGTCATATCGATATTATCTAAAGCATGAGGAACACCAACTAAGAGAAAAATACATAATGATTTTTTAGCTTGCATGAAATTGTATGTATTGCAAAAAATAAAGTAATTGGAAAAAAAGTAATTTTTATTAATTATTAATTTTTTTGAGTGTGAGCAACTGCCATTTCATTTATCTAATGATAATAATAATTAATAATAATAATTAATCAATTGTCTTATTTATTTTACAAGTGCTCTACAAATGGTTGTTTCTGAAGCATATATACTAGCAAAACACGTAGTTGGTATGAATGGATTGATAATAATCTAGAAGGAAAAAAGATCTTTAAATGTAGGTAATGTCACATGTATCTAAATAGGGATATATTCAAAACGTGCGAAACATTATGTCGGCCTGTAGCTTAGCTTTGACAAATATGTGTATATAATATATAATTTCATAATTTAACACGTTTAGAGTCCCGGAGATAAATAAAAAGAAGTCCAACTAATGAATTTATTACATGAAATTTTTTTTTACTTGGTGATATTTATAATTTATAAAAAAAAGGTTAGGATTCACGAAAGAGAAAAGAAGTGTGTATATGTATATGCTATAGGGAGGAGGGTTGCAGATTAATGATAATATAATGATAATAGAAAAGAAAAAAATTTGAAAATATTGTAAATATTAATAATACAGTATTGGAGTTAAAACAAAACTTGAAATATATATATATATTATTATTTTTTTTTGATTATTAAAGTTAAGAACTTTTTTCCAACTTCTTCTTTTTCATTTTTTCAATGCCTTCTAACCATTTTCTTTTTAGGTATTCTTCGTCGTATTGTTTCTCAATATAGGTTTTGTATGTTGGAAATAATTTAATCCAATATTCCATATTTGGTAAAATTTTTCTCTGAGCTTTAAGTGTACGATGAATATTTTTTTTAGATGGAATCCAAGCTGGATCTTTTCTCGCTACAAAAAAAAAAAATATTTAAATTCAATTAATGAATTATTAATAAATCAAAATTTCAATCTATAAAAATTATTACTAACCGCCATCTTTTTTACTTTTATCATAGAAAAGAACTATATCATTCCACTTGCCAATTACAACCATTTGAATTTTTTCATCAACCAATTTCAAATTTGGCATTTGTAATGCCTTAATAATTTGTCCAAACATCTTTGAACCACGAAACTTAACATCCGAAAGTAAAAGACCAGCTGCCTCCTCGACATTTTCAATATCACAAAAAGTTAACATTAGCTTATAGTTTTGCAAATCAGAATACTTGTTAATCACATCAACAACTTTTTTATTTAATGTTTCGGTAACATATTCATCAAAATATGTTTGCAATATTGTAGTTGAGTCTTTTTCAGAAAATGGCTCAAAAAATTTAATAGGGTCTGACTCTATTGCTTGACGCCTAACAGAATTTTGTTGATGTAAAAATGATTGATAAAATGTTGCTAATAATGTTTTGGAAGTGTATTGGTCAAAAAATGATTCTGTTAATGGTGTTTGGTTGGATTTAAACGAAAATTCTGGTTTAGTTATAATCTCTTCAATAAATAATTCACTAGTAATTAGCGATTCAAATATTTTTTTATAAATTAAAATATTTTCTAAAGAATCTGATGTTGATTGTTTAATAGTACCAATTATTAAAGTTGTTGCTGGTTCTGGTAATCGATGATTATCAGGATCAAATAACTTTGTTTGAACCGTAGGAGCAATAACCTCATCTTTTATTTCTTTGTTATTGTTATCTTGTTCTAAACTTTTCTGATCGTCATCATCAACAACAGCAGTAGCACCTTTAAATATTTTCAATGCATTTTTAAATGCTTCTTTGTATTTAACATTTTCTGAATTATCAGTTAGTCTTAACTTCTTGTCATATTCAGAATAAAGTCTTTCGTATTCATCAATAGGATCATCAATAAAAGCCTTCAAATTAATTCCTAAAACTTTTGGAACATTATTCATCATTTCTTCAACCTTCTCATATTTGTTAAGACGTCTACGAATAGTTTCTTCAATTATATATGTAAACATTCCTTTTTGTATCCAATTATTCAGATCATGTTTGTTGACATCTCCACACCTAACAGCACATAATAAATGTCCAAGATATACTAAATTATTTGCAACCTGATCAATTGTACGATTTATTGGTGATTTCATATAGTTTTCAAATAAAGTTTTATTTTGTTCACGTAACATTTGAGATTGTTTGTAAATTGCATCACATGTATCCAGAATCAACTTAAATTGTTTTCGATGAAAATCTGTTGATGTATCAGTAAGTGATTTTGCCAGTACTAGGAATGGAACTGTAGTGACTTGATCATATGCATAACCAAAAACATCAAGAGTTGTTATATATCCCATTATTGGCTAGAGTTATTTATAATAGTAATGATAATTCTATTATTTTTATTTAATTCTCAAAAAAAAAAAAAAAAAAAAAAAGGAAAGAAATATTCACCTTTATTTTTTCTTTTGCAACTGACCAATGATATTCATTAATATATAATGGAAGTATTCCTGTTATGTTCTCATTGGCTAATCCTTTTACAACATTTGCACCCAAAATGTTAGATTGAAAACCACCATGAACACTTTCTGAATCAATCGATTCACCTAAAGCATATTCTACTGATGTTAAAAATGCTTCAGAACTTAAAAATGATTGATTTATCTTTTTGATTCTTATTTTTGATGGATCAGCTATTGCAGATTGTGGTCTTGTTACATCAAGAGCTAAACACATACACTCTCCACACTTTAATGACTCGATATAATTGTCTAACAGCAAACAATAATTTGTTTTTAGCTCACTATAAAATCACAACAAAACAAAATATTAAATTATAGGAACTACCTGTAGTAAGAGCACAAGTTAGTGTCTTTAGATTTTCTTCAGTTTCACCATCTTCCAATTTTTTAAAATCCAATTTTCTAACAGCATCTTCAATTTTTTTTTCAATATCTTCTAGTGTTTTGATATTTTTAACAGCCCTATCATTCATTTTTTTCTTCAATCTATTCTTGGTTATATTATTGTAAGCTAGATTATTAAAATTGGCTATTTTTTCATTTGTCAAAGTTCCTTTTAAAGCCCTATAAAAATCCATTTTTTTTTTAAAAAAAGAAAGCAGTTGTATAATTATATAAATAAGCAGGATTACATTAAAAATATCATTAATGATAAATATTGAAGATAATAATAACAATAATCAAAGTTTTTAAAAACATACTCTGCTAAAAGATTTTTGAAATGATGTACCATTGATTTTGTCTCTAAACATTGCTGTATAGTCAATTTACGACCAAGTGTTTTAATTTTATAAGCATTTGCCATCATATTATTCAAATGTTCATCATGAATAGAAATTTGTTGAGATATTTTATCGAGCAATTCTCTTCTATTGTCAACATTGAGATTTATAATTTGATCAGTTAATTTTGTAATTTCTGATTGAATAAAAGTAATGATGAGTGATGTTACTATAGGCTCATCGGGTTGTATCTGTTTTAATGGCGCTCTAATTTTATTGTTGTTGTTATTATTATTGCTTTCAGCACCATTTGATAAATAAGATTCTTCCTTTAAAAGATAAATTGGAGTTGTTTCATCAAGCTTTGAAGATTCTCCTTTTAATATAATTGTTCCATTACCATCATCACCAATATTAATTGGTAATATTTTATCAGGTCCAATATTCACATATAATAGACGTTCGCCTAATTCTAATAGTCCAACAGTTGTTTCCATAGTACCTTGTATATCAATTGATGATTTCACATATTGGAAGTTGCCTTGTTTGGTGCCCAAATTAGTCAGCCAAGAAAGAAGTGCTGATTACAAAAAAATTTATTTGTAAGTTAAAAAAAATAATTATAATTATAATTATTTTACATTAGTGTTTGCTTATAAAAAACCTATATTTACCAGCATCATGATCAGCAGTAAAACCAATAGTATGAATCTCAGTAGCATGACCAGTTGAAGATAATCCAACATGTAACTCTTTTTTCATTTGATCAAAATTTATTTTAACGTTATTTTGACCATCAGTAAAAAATATAATTGCTAAATCTTTTTCAACATATTTAATATTTTCAGAGATTTTTTCAAATACTGAAATAAAATTTGTTCCTAATAATATGATAAAAATATAACCTGATTATTACATATCATATAAACTTTATTAACAATAACATGATTGTTTAAATCGAATACAATACCTCCATAAGCATTTATTGTATTAAAATATTCTTTGATTTTTCCATTGTCCCAAAGTAAATTGGGATCATCAACAAATCTTTTCACATCACAAGTCGATTGAAAAAACATGCATGTGATATCTTTTTCTTCAATGCTGTTGTGTGCAATTAATGATTCAATCAAGTGTAAGATTGCTTGTTTTGCTTGAGTGATCCCCGATCCAGCCATTGATCCTACAGGTTAATTTTGTATATAGCAACGATTATTATTATTTATTTAAAAGGTGTCAAAATGCCAATCAAGAAATTTGAAATTTACCAGAAACATCTAAACAAATGAATAATTCAAGTTCACGTTTTTTTCCTTCAAACCAATTATCAATTAATGAATTAGATAATTTCAATGATAAAATTGAATTATCATTATCAACTTTATAGAATAATCCATTAACTTCATTTTGTGAATCATTCCCTTCGAGGATTGAAGTAGACATTTTTTTTTTTTATTTTTATTTTTTTATAAAAAAATATTTATTCATTATTTTATACGTTCGAGTCGTAAAAATTAAATGCAATATGATGATGATAATCGTTATTATGATTTTCTGTCGATCATAATCGTAATGAGTAATAGTATTAGTATTAGTATGATTGATTGAGTTAAACTTCAAATAGTATTTTCTTTTTTCAAATAGAGTCTGTAATTTTATCAAAAGACCTGGCTTTTTAAAAATTGTGGAACGTTTTAACACCTTGAACGTGATTTCAAAAATGTATATTTTAATGGTGATACATCTTCGTTTGGAATTTACCAGGTTGACAAAATTAAATTTTTTCTGACTATCATTTTCTACAAAGCGTTCTTATCTTTAACTAATAATAGTAATAGAAATAAATTGTTTTTTTCTTTATATATTATCAGTTAAATTATCCTGATCTTATTTATTTATCTTTTTGTGGCTTAATCTGTAAATTCCTTGACATCATTATTAAAGCCACTTTGTTTAAGGCTGTGCTAAAAAAATTTTTTTGAAAAGTAATGATAAATTAAAAAAAAAGAAGGTAACAAAAAAAAATGAGAAAGTTCAACATCGTTCTTGTTCATAAATAAATGTCCTTTGACTTTATATATAATTACAATTATTAATTATTTAATTATTTTTTTTTTAAAAACCATATATATTAACAATGCTACCAAAAGCACAAATTAATAATAAAATAAATCCAAAAGATGGTGTCGCCATTGAATTTTTGACGACAGAAAAAAAAAAAAAGGAAAAAAAGGAGATAGATCCAATCATAGGAAAAAATGAAGATCCTGGAAGTCATCATCTTAAACGTGCTTTACATGCACGTCATCTAACAATGATATCAATTGGCGGTACAATTGGTATGTTTCTATAAAAAAATTTTTTATAGTCATTGTCATCAATAATAAAAAAGCAAACTTTCTCTTGTTCATGTTAATTAATAATAATAATAATAGGTACTGGTTTATTTTTAAGTTCTGGTGCATCAATAGCTAAAGCAGGTCCAATTGGTGCACTATTAGCTTATTCTATTATTGGTGTGATAGTGCACTTTATGATGACATCATTGGGTGAAATGGCCACATATATTCCTATCTCTGGTTCATTCAACACTTATGCAAAAAGATTTGTAGATCCTGCTTTAGGGTTTGCTCTTGGTTGGAATTATTGGGTTTAAAATTTATTTTTTACATGTGAAATTACGTTTTTTTTTTGGAAAAAAAAAAAAGAAAAAAAATTAAATATTCATCTATTACTTTATTATGAAAATATTATATACAGTACTTTTGGGCCATGACAATAGCAGTTGAAATTGTTGCTGCTGCAATAATTATAAAATATTGGTTACCATATGCACCAACTTGGATATTTAGTATAGTAATTTTACTTGTGATGTTGATAATCAACATGTTCACAGTAAGAGGTTATGGTGAAACAGAATATTGGCTTTCTCTTATAAAGGTGAAAATTAAAAAATACTATTACAATTTTTTTCCTCCTCAATAATTAACCATGTAACCTTTAAATTTGTTATAGATAATTACAGTTTTTGCTTTTATTGTAACAGGCATTTTATTAAATTTTGGAATAATTGGAAAGACACATGAAGTAATTGGAGTGAAAAATTATAGTGCTGGAATTACAGATTTTTATGGATTTCTTGCAGTTATATTAACTGCTGGGTTCTCATTTCAGGGAACAGAACTTGTTGGTATTGCAGCTGGTGAATCAAAAAACCCTGAAAAAAATGTACCAAAAGCAATTCACCAAGTTTATTGGCGTATTTTATTATTCTATATTTTTGCTATTATAGTAGTAGGTTTGCTAGTTCCATACAATGATCCACATCTTATAGCAAACGGTCTTGGGGGTTCAGCTCAAAGTCCTTTCACAATTGTATTTCATAGGACTGGACTTGAAGCTTCAACACATTTGGTTAATGTTGTTATACTTGTTGCTGGTAAATTAATTAAATTGGATTTTTTCAAAATTAAAAAATCAAAAAAAATCAATATTTATTTATTTACATACATATTATATATAAAGTTCTTTCTGCTGGAAATTCGGGACTTTATGCTGCATCACGTGTATTATATAATCTTGCTGTTGAAGGAAATGCTCCAAAAGTTTTCCAATACATTAATAAAGATGGTATACCATTGCCTGCTTTATTGGCAACTACAGGTGTTGGTTGTCTAGCATTTCTAATGTCATTTATTGGTGAAGGGACTTTTTACATCATCTTAATAAACATCTCTGGAGTTTCAATATTCATTCAATGGGCAGGGATCAGTTTTACCCATTGGCGTTTTAGAAGAGCATTTCTGGCTCAGGTATATAAATAATAAATAAATGAATAAATTTGTCTTAATACATTATTAATATATATATATATATATATATATATGCATATATATCTATAGGGACATTCATTATCAGAATTACCTTACAAATCACAATTATTTCCATTTGGTCCAATATTTACATTTTGTTTATTATCAATTCTTATAGTTGGACAAACAATTCATGCATTCCTGGATGCACATCATGGTCACAAAGATCCTTTGGTTGTTATTACAGCATATAGTGGAGCACCATTGTTTTTTATGCTTTTCTTTATTTATAAAATTGTAAAGAGAACAAAAATGGTTCCATTGCGTGAATGTGATTTTGATCGAGGATTTGATCCAAGTTATGTTGAAATGGATGAGAAACAATATAATATTCTGACAAAAATGACAGCCGTGGTGATCAAAGGTGGCAAAAGATTGAAAGGCGAATTTGCAAATATAAGTCATTATCATTACAGCACAAATACTGCAAATACCATTAATACCAGTAACAGTATAATCTATCAACCAAGTCTTGAAAATGGAAACACTGATATTAATTTCAATGATAATAATAATAACAATAATAATAATAATAACATTAATATCACTGCCACTACTAATAATAATATTATTGTTAATACTACTAATAGCACCAATAATAATAATGATGATGCTAATAATGATAATAATAGTAGTAGTAGTAGTAGCAACAATAGTAGTAGTAGTGGTAGTAGTAGTAGTAGTAGCAGCAGCACTATAGATATTAATGATGCTGATAATATAAAATGTAGTTGATCAAATTTTAGAGGTTCAAATTTTATAAAGTACTTTCACAATTTTTTATTTATTTGACTTCTTCATTTCTTAGATTAGTGATGAGTAGATTTCCCCCTTTACCTAATTTTTTTGCTTCTTTTTCTCATTTTTTTCACAAACAATAAAGCAATAACATGCATGTTCCATGGTAAATTGTGTAAAAAATACAAATGTTTAAAATTTTATTCTCTTTTAAATTTGAAAGTTATGCTCAGAATCTCACGACCAAATTTGTGAATGATTTTCTTTTAATGTAATATATTCGTTATTTATTTATAAAAAAAAAAAATAAATCAAATAAATCAAAATGTACGTTGTAGAAAGTATTATATAAAAAAAAAAGTTATTACACGAAATTTACTTTGTTCAATTTTTTTTAAGTGTATAACAAAATTCGGAATTTTCAAAATGCTAATACTAATACTAATACTAATACTAATATTAATATTAGTGGTTGTATCCGCCGAATGATATTCACTAATTATTCACCAATTATCCGGTTGATTGGGTATTGAAAATTTTTCATTGATTAATTAATCGGGTGTTGAAAATTTTCACCAAATAATTGGTAATAATTGGTGGTACAGAATATAAAAAATAAAAAATTTTATCCACGTAATTAATGTAAATAATATTTCATCACTATTACATTCTTTAATGACAGCCAAACGAACAAAATTGAGCCCATTATTATTTGAAAGAATTGTATTTCTTAAAAAAAATATGCAATGTGTGTGTTGAAAATATTTTTCTTGATCTT